AACCGCTCGTAGGACTGTAAGCGCCGCTGGGATGTGATGAGCCCAGAGTCTTTATTGATCTTGAAAGCCTCTGGGGGTAGAAAAAACACATCTCTCGTTCAGGACACGTGGCACCAGATAAATTGTGATTAGAAACCAGTGTACTAGCTGAAGCACACCCCTCACTGGTGGGAAATCCAGAAGGGGTGGTGGAGAAGAGATGACTGCCTGAGGCCAGGGCTGTGGATACTCTCAGGGTGCCTTTTCAGAGCATCCCTGCTTGCTGCTGACTCTCTGCCACTGGGAAATGACAAGGGCCCTGCTCCCAGGCCACCCCTGGCTTCATTTCACTCCTGCCCAGGCCAGCTACACCGGCTGGGACAGGGCAGTGGTCAGAGAAACCCACGGATCTCAGGAATATGAACTTTCTGTGATTTCTCTCTACCTTTATGCTGGCTTTTGCTTGTTTCCCATTACTCCTCAGCACGCAGAGATATACTGAATTTCAGGCACTATCACTGTCTACCCACAGCCTCCTAGTCCTTCTTAGCTTTCTTCTAAAGAGTGCAGTGAGTTTGCTCCAAGACACACTTGTGTACATAGAAAACATTGCTGGGGTGGGGGAGACAAGAGGATAAGCCAAGGCTGGGCTGCAGGACAAAGGCAGGCAAAGCCATAACATGCCACCCCACGAGGAACTGGGAACTGTGGAGCAATGCTGAAAGCTCCATGCTTTCGGTATTGCTCCTGGGAGCGTGTGCACAACCTTGCTCCCAGCCAGCCACAGAACACGGGACGTAGGCTTGGCCCCTACATCTTCTTCAATTCCTCTTCATGGTAACCTTCCTCCCCGGGGGACCATACCCCTCTGTCAACCCCTACCTGCTCCGGGTCCCTCGACGCTGTAGGTCACCACTCCGTTATCCCCTTCGTCCAGGTCTGTGGCAGTCATGGTGATCACCGATGTCCCTGCTGGCTCGTTCTCATAGACGCTGGTGCTGAACTGGCTCTTGCTGAACTGGGGCCTGAAGTCGTTGATGTCCAGGACTGTGATCAGCACCTTTGACAAAGCACAGCCAGCTGGGTGACGTGAAGTGGGAGACGGCCAGGCTGCCCCCAGGGCCGTACCCCTGCCATGACCTGGGGCTCTACTGCTGGAGCACGGTGCCTTTCCTGCTATTCGTTTAGCTCTGCTAGATGAATTCCTGCCTCCAACAATGGGGGCTGCTGCGGCCGGGGCACACATTCATGCCGGAGCACTTGCAGACAATAGTGTCACCCTCTCCTGCCCCTCCTGCTCCATCCCCTCCTGCTGATGCACCGCCTTCGTGACACGAAGTCCCCTGCATCATCCACCCCACAGCCCCTGGGGTCATTTGCTCTTCCTTCTGCCTCCCTGAGCCACCAGCAAGCGCACTGGGGAGGAAAGCCTGAGGTTTAACACCTCCTTGCTGGCAACAACCACACGCAAGGAGGAGAGCCCTACCTGCACGGAGTTCTCACGACGGTTACTGGAGACGTCCCCAGGGTTGTCCCTGGCCACAGCTGTCAGCGTGTAGTGATCTTTCTTCTCCCGGTCCAGGGCTGACAGGATGTAGATGTCACCCTGCAGCACACAGAGACCTTCAGGTGGATCTCGTCTGGCAGAGCTGGTACTCGAGAAGGGGCAGAAGGTGAGGTGTGGGAGCAAGGCACAAGGCAGGACCATCTCAGCCTTCCCTCCCTTTTCCCTCTCTGTTCCAGCCTCGGATGGCTCCTTACCGTGTTGGGATTTATCCCAAACTTGCCCTCTCCATCCCCCAGGCTGTACTGGATGAGAGCAAACCGCCCAGAATCCGCATCTGTGGCCTTGACTCTCAGGATGACTGTACCCAACGGCACATCCTCAAAGACAGCTTTCTGTAAGCAAAGCGACAAGGCAGGACTGGTTGTTTCATCACTTGGTGTTTTAGTGGGCAGTAACCAAGGGTGCAGCGTGGCACCCAGGAGTGGGCACAGCTGGACGCAGAACAAGACATTCACACAGAGTACACTGATGGGTTGACCATCTTCTTCAGCTGGTTCAAGCACAGACAGAGGGAAGAGAAGGCGTCCCTGGAGGACCCCCAGCTCTGTGCCTGCCCTTTCTAGGCAGGCACTGCTCAGCCCTGCATGGACTTGGATGGTGGAGCCCAGCTCACCTGGTAGGATGGCTGGCTGAAAATGGGATTGTTGTCGTTGATGTCCACTATCTGGAGGTACACAGGGATCTCAGCAGATCTGCGTGGAGAGCCATTGTCGGAAGCTCGGATGGTGAAGTTCAGCCACTGCACCTCCTCGTAGTCCACCGTCCTGTTGGCCACGACCTTCCCTAGAGAATGGCAGACCCTGAAATGAGAAACCTGCCCCAGGCTACCAACCTGCCCCAGACTCCCACCTCCCCAGGCTGGTTCCACCGCTGAGATGGAGATCAGTGTGGTGCCCTCTGTGGCTCCCTCCAGGATCCTCTCAGTGAAATAGGTGACCCCAAAGGGGCGGAAACGGGGTGTGTTGTCATTGACATCCAAGACGTTAACTGTCAGCTTGGCTGTGGCCATGGTGGAGACCACAGAGGAAGAGAAGAGGAAGAGGACAAGTGAGAGAGAGAAGAAAAGGAAAGATAGGAGAAAGGAGGCTTGTAAAGATACAAGCACAAAAATCCAGGAAAGCCAACTAAATAGAGCTGGTTCATCAAGAAAAATGGCAACATTTGGCAAAGCTGCTATGCCTTGATCTGACTGTGGGAGAGTCTCACCTACTTCAGACCTGCTCCTGATCTGTGTGTACCTTCCTACACATGGGCCTGGATTTACCAGGAGCAGGCTGGCAAGATGTCACGGGTGTCTCCCATGGTATGGTTACAGGCACACAGTCCTCTCCAGCCCCAGGCCAGCTCTGGGATGTTTGGGTCATTTGTTAAAGGAGGGCTCAGAAGAGAACCCAAACCTTCTGGGAGCTGATCCAGTACTGCTGCCACCAGAAATGCTGCTGGTCAGGATGGAGAGGTAGAAGGGAGAGTTGCTGACTACCCAGAAGCTGTGCCAGTGCCTGGGAGAGGCTGTGCCAGCCCCCACCAGCCGCCAGCCCTGGCCCTGCACTGCCTGGCAAGAAACCATGCTTACCATTGGGTACGCTGACCGAGCGGTCGATGACTTCGCTGGCATTGTCATGGACAGAGATGGTGACTTCGTAGGTGGCCACCAATTCCCGGTTGAGGGGGGTTTTGATCTTCACAGCTCCTGGGAACCCCAAAAAGATGGGGGTCACAGGCTGTGCCTGTGCACCCCACATTGAGGACCTTTGGCAGACCCATCTGCACCAGCTGACTGCTGCATCGTCTGCTGGACTTGTTCTCCTGCCTCTTCCCAGAGGCTAAAAGGGGAAAACACTCAAAACCTACAGGAGGAGATGACTTCTCTCCCCCTACTTTCCATCTCCTGCCTTTCCACCTGGTCTGCTCCACTCAGCTAACTAGGTGTCCCATTGCCTCAGCTGGTGTAAGGGTTTGGGTTGTGCAGATGAAAGGGGTTTGGGAGCAACTACTGTTGCTCCCCTGCACCATCTCATCTACCTTAATTCAGCATCCAGGCACCTTTAAGAGTCTTGTCCCATATCCTTTCCAACAAGGGCATTTTTCTTTCCTGGATCAGCTCTGAGATTCCAAAATAGATGCGGGGAACTCCTGTCCTCCTTCCTTGAGTGCAGAGCCCACCACTTACCCTGGACCTCCACCCCCTCCTTCCCCCAGCAAGGGTGCCCGTGTCCAGTCTGCCAAGGCTGAGCAGCCCCCGGCCCGCAGCAGGGCCACCTGTGATGGAGAAGGGTGAGACGGATGGAGGCGATGGATGGCACGGAGAGAGAAATGAGCACAGACACAGAGACAAACCTGGCAGGCTGAGAGCTGGAAAGGAAAGAAAAGGTTTAGTGAAGCTGATTGGCCAGGGGAGAGAGGACAGGGCAGGGTGAGACAGGGAAGCTGAAGGAGGACAGCAGGGAGGCAGGAGGGGAGCATCATCTCCCTGTGCCTCAGACACCTACCTCCAGGCAGAGCAGAAGAAGAAGCAGAAGAAAGTAGAGGAATCTGCGCCACCCATGCCACCCTTTCTGCTCTCCTACCTGTCCTAAAATCCACTGTGAATGTTCCCTGCTGGTTGGGCACCAAGGCGTCTGTGTCGTCACGGGCCACGATCTCCAGCAGGTAGTACTCCAGGCGAGGGTGGAGGTCCCGGTCGATGGCGGTCACCTCGGCCACCACTGTGCCAGGGGCAGCTGACTCGGGGACACTGACGGTCTGGATGGGGTTGATGAACTCAGGCCGGCAGTCGTTGACGTCGTCGATGAAGAGGCTGACGGTGGCAGTGCCCGAGAGTGCTGGCGTGCCCTGGTCCACGGCCACCACCATCAGCCGGTAGGCATCCCGCTCCTCCCGGTCGATGCTGATGTTGGCCACGCGGATCACCCCTGTGGTGCCGTCGATCAGGAACCTACTGTCAGCATCTGTGGCACTCACCTGGAGGACAGAGAAGCCTGGAAAGAGGGGACACAGCCGTCTCAAGCGAGGGTTGGAGGGCACAAGCAACAAGCCCCCCCAGTCCCAAATACTGTGAAGCAAAGTGGGCAGTCCCAATTCCCAAATTTTCCCTTCAACCCCATCCTAAACAGGCCTGATGCTGGGAGCTGGATCTTCACAGTCCCAGGGGGACATCCAGGTCTCCCCATCACCCACCCTCAGATCCAGTCCCAGCCCTCGCCTGACCTGGGGGGCTGTTTTCCCGCAGCCGTGCCACGATGGAGGCCGGCTGGAAGATGGGGCGGTTGTCATTGTCATCTAAGACGGTCACCAACAGGCTGGCGGTGCTTTTCAGGCCCCCTATGTCATGAGCCACCAGTGTGAACTCCAGGTGAGGGTCCGGCAAAGCCTCTCGGTCTATCACACTGCCAGGCTTCACTGAAATAACACCTGGAGAAGGGAAGAACCCCAGTGACAGACCCCATGGCGGCCTGGTGGCTCCGGGCTGGCGATGGGGACCTGCTGAGCCACCCCACCTGTCCTGTTGTCGATAACAAATAGGTCCAGGGATGCCTCCAGGAGCTGGTAGGTCACCAAGGCATTGCTGCCCTGGTCGCCGTCCAGAGCTAGGATAGGTCCGTTATGCACTGTGACCGGAGTCCCTGGATGGGATGACAAGGGTTACGGAGTGTGGCAGCCCCCTGCAGAGCCCCCCTCCCATCCCCCTCCAATCCTGGTGACCCCTGAGGGACAGCAATGAATGGATGGAGGAGGTGACAGAGCAGGGCCTTGCGGGGCACGAGGCAGCGGGGGGGTGGCTGCTGCAGCCTTGCAGACCGACTCGTGAGGCCCAGGCGAGGTGATAAGACATCAGGCTAAAAATAAACAGACAAACACATCCATCAGACGGATGGCACCAGCACCCTGCCATCAAGGGCATCACCTGGAGGCACCCAAAACCTTTGCCTGGGAAGCCCCTTGATGGTGGGACATGGAGGTACCTGAGGTCTTTGCACAGGCAGTGATTTAAATGCCAGGAGGCAAAAAAAAAAAATTTCAAAAAAGAAGAATATTTCTAGCTCTTTGGCTGTGAAACATCTACCTGGACAGGCTGGGCTGTTTTATCTCTAACCCCTGGAGCTAGGTGGGTCCAGGTGCTGGTAACGGAGAGAAGGCACTCTGTACCCTCCTGTGTGGGGACATTGGGCAGGTTGGGTTCCTCGAGGCAAGGGCTGCCCCCAGGGCTCGGCTCAGACCATGGGCACGTGTTGCTGTCTGCAGCTGAGCAAATCCCAATGGGACAGATTTCTTGCAGGCTTGTGCCTGACCTGTGTCAGGAAGGTTTTCCACCAGCAGCTTGGACCAAAGCCACAGCCTCCTCGATGCTGATCTCCCCAGGAGATTGGCAGGAGCCCCTCATACTCATCATCCCCATCCCACTGACCTGCAGCCTTTCACTGCTCAGCGTCATGTCTGCTCCAGAATGTCCGCGAGACACCTCCCCTCACCCAGCCGCCAAAGGGAGTCTCCAGGAGCCACATAGGGGAGCAAAGAGAGACCTACCTGGGGGAGAGTTCTCCACCACCTCAGCCTGGTAGGAGCTCTGGGTGAAAATGGGGTGGTTGTCATTCTCATCCGCTATGGAGATGACCAGCAGGTCAAAATCCTAAAGGAAAATGGGGACAAGAGGGTGATGACCGCAACGTCCTTTCCTCAAGCTTACCTCCTGCCTCTCCCTCCTCCAGCTTCATGCCAGTCAAAGCTGCAGTCCTGTGCAACTGTGATGCTGAGCTCCCTGGAGGGTCTGCAGGGATCCTCACCCTAAGGCTGGGCATCCCTTCCCACCCTGAAGGGTGATGCGTGGGACATTTTGGCAGGGCCAAAGGATGCTCCAGCATCATTGTGGTTGTCCAGCTCTCCAGCCCAACTTCGTCCCACCTTCTGTGACATCTATTGCTGTTGCACGGAGTCAACATGAGATATTGGACTTCCCCTAAATATTACTGGTCCCGCTCTCTGCTGGGGAGGGCATTGGAGCGGTCGAGGCTGCTATTGGAAATGCTGTGGGTAAATGCACCACCTGGTTTTGGCCACGGCAGCCCCTTCTCCCACCCACCCTGCTGCCTGCACTGCTGGAGGCCCCAGCAGTGTCCATAATTACCCGCCTGGCATTGCGTATGTTCTCAGGGTTGTCCTTCACTGTGATGGTTAGCCTGTACTCTGCCACCCGCTCCCTGTCCAGAGGGTGGTTTACGTAGACAATGCCGCTCTATGGAGAAAAAAAGGAGGAAATAGGTACAAGGGATGCAAGGAGCACTTCCCCCACAGCATCTCCTGCCAGGGCAAGGATGCCAGATGGCACCCATGGGTGCCCAGGGAAGGCAGAACTCTGGGACCAGGGATGCCCACTCTCCATGTCCTGGCCTCCCACCCCCTGGGGGCGTACGGTGCTGTTGATGTAGAAGGCGTTCTCCGTGTTGCCTGCTGTTATGTCGAAGGTCAGGAGGGCATTCAGCCCCTTGTCCGCATCCCGGGCAAGGATGCGGGTGACAAAGCTGGAGATGGGGGCATTCTCGCTGAGGGTGATGTTCATCGGGAGGTTGAGGAGCACAGGGTCGTTGTCATTGATGTCCAGCACTCGGACGCCCACCAGGATCTGGTAGGGAGAAAAGCGGTGCGGGCATGTGGCACCTATTTCCGTCCCTCCCATCCTTTTTTTGCCCCCCCCAGGAAAGAGGTGGGCTTCTCCACCCAACCCACTATGGTCTGAGGGAGGAAAGCCCCAGGGACAAGGGGAGGAGGAGACTGAAGATGGAGGAGACTCCAAGGAAGGAACTGGGGGATGGGGGACAGCACTCCGCAGCCCCCCACGCCACCCTGGGGGACTCACCGTGGAGCTGAGGGGGGGCACCCCCCGGTCCCGGGCGGCAATGGTGAGATTGTAGAAGGCGATGTTCTCACGGTCCAGCTCAGCATCCTTCCGCACTCGCAGCTCCCCTTCCACCGGGGAGATCACAAACTCTCCTGCCAGAGATAGGCTCATGCCATGCTGCTGCGAACAGCACAGCCTGGCTCCCCGGGGGGATGGCTGGTTTCGGAGCCGGGGGACAAGGCACCACGGCACGTTTGGGGACAAAACCATGCCCTGTTACTGCAGACATGGGAGGACTGTGGGCAGATGGGTACTATCCTGGATGCACCCGCAGGTACCAACAGGAGCAGGGGATGGTTGAATGGCGAAACAAGAGGTGTCTGTGCCCCTTGGCTGGACATGCCAACAGCCCTCCAAGCACCTGCCTGGGCCCCATGATGGCTGGAGCAGGGTGGGCTACACGGCACTGCAAGGGGCTGCATCCTGCTTGCTAGAGTCACCACCATGGAGGGACAGACATACGTCCCCATGGCTGGGGATGCCCACGGCTCCTCTGCCACCTGTGCCAGGGTGCTGGTGGGGCTGGAGCTACAGCTCTACCACGGGGTGCAGAGCAACTTGGTCCACAAACGCCCTGCCAAGCCCACGGGGGTGAGGGGATGGGGCTGTGCACTTGCAGCTCATTTTCTCTTTCTGCGGTCTGTTTTTTGAGGGTTGGTTTTTTTTTTGCCTTTATTGTTTAGCAGATTTCCCCCCTCTCTTGCACAAGCCTTGGCCACCCCCTTGGCTGGCCATGAACAGGTTAAGTTTCCTGTTGCTCAAAACAGGATTTCCTGGTGTCGAAAGGCTGAATTCGCAGAAGCGCCCAGATGGGAGGATGGCTTTTCTGAAACGCTTCCACCCGCGCTCCCGTGCCAGCTCCTGCAAGCCGTGTTCCTCCATGAGGCAGCCAGAAAAAGAAGTGATGCCCCTGTGTCCCCGCTCACCAAGAGGGTCCCCAGCGATGATGCTGTACTCCACTTGCCCGCTGGGTCCTGAGTCACCGTCGTGGGCCAGGAAGGTCCAGACGCGTGGGCCGGGCTGCCCCTCCGTGACATCGAAGGGACCTTCGTAGGGTCGAGGGAAGGTGGGACGGTTGTCGTTGATGTCGTTGAGGTTCACCAGCACCTGCAGTCAGGGTGAGAGGGTGGAGGGCAGTGAGAGGAGAAGGATGGAATGGGAAACCAGCCATAAGCATGGGAAGCCGTGGATGGGTGACATCGCAAAATACCTCCCATATTTCTGGCTTTGCTGCCTTCGCCAAATATTGAACTCACAGTTCCGAGACTCAACCTCGGTTATTCCTGATCATGCCCATCCTACAGCAACACTATGAAAACTCCAGCCACACACAGGTGGGACCCTTTTCAACTTCTGGGCCACACACCATGGTGGAGAAACCAACGCAAAAGCCAAACGTGCTCCACATTTCACATCCCTGAAACCCAAGCTGGATGGACAAAAACCACAGACATGGATTTGACCACCAAAGCCATGAGTTCAGAAAGACCCGATATCTGCAGCCAGCTGCACACTTGCCCACTCCTGTTTCTCCACCAAGGGCTTCATTCCTAATGCTTAGTAAACTTTAAAAAATGTGCAGATTGCATCCTTCCTCCAACACAAACCACCACCAATGCCTTTGGTGCATTTCACCTCTTAGCATCCCTTCCTACGACATACTTAGGTGGCTAGAAATCAATCCTACAGATCTCAGTAGGGGAAAGCATCAGCTATTTTAGAACAGAGTAGACCACGGGGCTCCCAGCGAAGCTGGGGGTCCAACGAGCTCAAGTCTTCCTTTTTAACTGAGTCACACTACATAGAAGATATTTATATAGCTCTACACTGTGCTGTATTGCAAAGACGGTTATGCCTTTGCTAGGCTTCAGGGAACTTGCACAGTGGAGAAACCCTGCCTGGGGAGGAGAGTCTCCAGTGGCTAATAAAAGGTTGAGCTTTCGTGGTATGAGTGGTTACAAGAAAGATACTGAAAATGAGGAGCTTTCTGATCTCCTGGGTTAAAGGATAGTAAAATCCATCAGATGGGCATTTGTTACTGGCTAAATCTAATCTTTACTGAAGAGTATACCAGAGTCACTGCTCCGTCTCCTAGCAGTGGAGAAAACAAACACTGGCACGCCTTACCAGGGTGACGGATTTCCCATCACTCGGGATCTTAAATACTCACTAAACCTCCTCCTAAAAGCTACATTTTCATACAGTGCTGGCACAAAGTCCCTGGGCTGTGTAGGGAGGGTGTTTCCTACCACTTCTAGCTTCGGTACTTGTAGCTGAAGGGGTTTCCAAGTTCACGTCTCTGCTTGGGCTACGAGCAGGGAACGCTTTGCCTTCGCCTGCAGCACGCCAGCAGCTGCTGCCTTCCCTGCCGGCAGTTAAACCCCAGGTCTCGAGGTTTCCGCTGCAGTTTTCCTGGGCCAGGAAGGCATCTCCAGCAGTATCAGATGCACAGATCTGAAGGCTTCCCATCCGCTCACATGTGGAGCACAGCATTGCCAGGCTTGCGGGGACAGATTTTAACTCTGGAAATCTCCTGCACTGGTATCTCCCCTTCAGTTTCTCTTTTTTTCTTTGCACACAAGAGCTTACCTCCTTTAAGTGGACTACAAAAATGCTTGGCTCGATATCTGGGTGAGGCAGGAGGGAGCCAAGGCAGAAGATCTAACCGATCCCTTCCACCTGCAGACCCCAAAATCTACCTGGGCATGGACACCATCTGCCGTACAACTAGTCAAATTCTGGTTTCGGTGACAAAAATAATCACTGTATTCAACTCCTGCAAAACATTTGCTTTGGAGTCTGCTCTCACCACACTTTGAGCAGTGTGCTAAGTTCACGTCACCGCAGCCCAGGAGAAATGAATGAGCTATAGACAAAAGCAACAACAAAAAAAAATACTAGAGGCTTTAAATAACCTCCATACAAGGAAAGAAAAAGGATTTCTAAAAGCAGACAAATAATATGAGAAGAGAAAGATGAAGCAAAAATTAATGCTATAGCAATGCTTTACTATGTAAGATCCCTTCAAGCAAGAAGGACCAAGGGGTCATATAAAGAAAACATAATGCAACTTAAAAGTAGTTCTGGGAATTTATCCTGTTTGTGTCTTTGCAGGACCAAATAACTGGGCTAATTAACCCTGCACTGTCCCTTGCCCACATCTATTTTGCAGCCTCCATGAGGGAGCAGGGTGACAGCAACTGGACAAACTGGCCGCTGCTGGGAAAAAATACTGGTGACCTTTGGGAAGGAGATGTGAAACTGCTCGCATGAGGGGGAACTCCTTGACCCCAAAGAGGCCGCAGTGTCGCAACCCTGCCAGCGGCTCCCTACCGTGGCAGTCGATGTCAGCCGGCGTGAGAAGATGGGGCACTGGTCGGTGGCAGTGACGATCAAGGTGTAGCGCCCGTGGCTGATCTCATAGTCCAGCTCCTTCACCGTGCGGATCTGTCCCTGCAAGGTGAGGGGAGAGCGGCCAGGAGTGAAGGGAGCAGGACAAGGACATGGCCGAGATGGGGCCAGCATCCTTACTGACCGTGGCGCTGTCTATGTGGAAGGTACCCAAAATGTTGCCTTCGGCGATGGCGTACGCAACCGTGCCATTGGGTCCCTCATCCCAGTCCAGGGCCTTCACAGTGACAAGGGTGGCATTGAGCGTGGCTGGACCTTCATCGAGGGTCACCTCATACAGTTGCTGCTGGAAAGCCGGAGCATTGTCGTTCTCATCCAGCACGGTGACGTACACTGTGGTGGTGGCCTGTAGGACATGGGGACATCGTGTTAAGCACCGTAGAAGAATCGGCTCTACAACTGCTGGAGCTGGCTGGGGAAGGCTACACCTGTCAAAGTCAATGAGCAGCGTGGACTCAACCATGCCATGAAACACAAACGGGATGCAGGGCTCAGAATGAAATGAGGCATGGCTGCAGACGGACCTCCAGGTAACAGTTGGGTACAGAGATAGAATCACACCCTTGCTTTCAAGCAAAGCATGTCTCTGTGGGATCCCTCCCCTTTTCACCCAGTTTTTACCATCACTGGCAATGCTAGGGAGCAGCCCATGGCAGAGGGAAAGCCAGAGGCTGAGCCTCCTTACTGAAGGCTGTCTTCTGGGCATGTCACCATGGGGGCACACCTGGAGACAGGGAGGAGACAAGAGCATGCCACCCTGCCTATGGGCTCAGCTCATAGACATGGGGTCTCAGGACAATAAACCATTTTCTTGGAGTCTCAGAACTTTGTTGCCTACACCTTCCCCCTGCAACAAATTTCTTCCAGCCAGACAATGGTTACATTTTTGACGAGAGCATCACCGACGTGTTTGCTGTAGAAACCACAAAGCCACATGGTAATTAGCTACTTTTCTATTTCACTGCATGCTCCAAATTCAGAGCAGGTTAGCAGCAAAGTTTCCTGCAGGTTGCAAATCTCCACGTGTCTCCAGGCTCCACTTTCCAGGGAACACCATTTTGATCTCGGCTGCAGCTGGAGATTTTGTTGATGCCTTTTGAATCCGAAGGGAAGCTCCATGAGGAGTTACGGGAGTCGGCCCACGGTGCCTCTTTGCTATTCGAGGACAGAGTAAAGGCCTCTCCCTGAGTAAACAGGCTGTGGGAGGGGGATGCTTTGCTCCCATTTTGGGGGGGGGAAGGATTCCCTTCCCTGTACCTGCCTTCTGTTCACCCCATGAGGATTCCTGCCTGCTTAATCCTCACAAACAGGGGAAAAACAGTAATCAGAAGGAAATGCACTTAAACGAAGCAAGCTGGAGATGAGCCCCAAGGGGCCGGCTCCCGCCGGGAAAGGGATGGGGACCAGCACCAGCATGTCCCCCGGTACGGCGAGCGTCCTCCCCAGCTTCCCCCCGCGCACCCCGAAACGGCGGGGGGGGGGACACGGGACGGGA